CTTGATGTAATATATCATGTGTATAAGGTTGATAGTGGTTGTAATCATCGCACAAAAATTTTTGAATCAAAACCCTCGTGATAGAACCTGTAGAGGAATTTCAAAACCTGTGCGGTCGACCATAGCGGTCGACTGTCATGCGCACAGCAAAAGTAGTAAGCTTCTTTCTCTTGCGCGGTCGACCAAGACGGTCGACCGCTGGGCGCGCAAATGAGCAGAACCCTTCTGCTCGCTACGCGGTCGGCCACGGATGTTGGCGGTCGACCGTGAGCCCTATTTTTGTTCATGCCTTGTTGTTCACGTGTGAGTTGTACGGCTGGCATAATATCTAGGTTATATGGGTTTGATATACACTGAGATTTGTATACATGAGTTAATTACAGACATGAGTTTTAGATTTATTCACCGAAGCATGAGGGTGAACGGTATATATGTGATTTTTGACACTATTTGCTTTTTATAATCCTCGTGTCGAACTATAAGCTATCAAGTCTTCGTGTTGGACTATAAACTATCAAAGCCCTCGTGTTGGACTATAAGTTATTAAAGTCCTCATGTTGGACTATAATCATCAAAGTCCTCGTGTTGGACTATAATCCACTACAGTCCTCGTGTTGGACTTTAAGCTATTACAGATTATATTTTGGACATTTATTCATTTCAGACCTCAAGTTGAGTATATATTTGACATATGACGGGTCATTGATATTTCGGTTGGAGATGGAGTTATTACTCCACGTTATAGCTTTTGGATTTGATATTTAGCTATTTACAATTTGAGCTAAGGGAGACGTACCTATGCTTGTGTTGTAAATTTCTAAAGCTATTTACAATTTGAGCTAAGGGAGACGTACCTATGCTTGTGTTGTAAATTTCTAAACATCAAACCTGTATTTTATTTTCATAGTCGATGTTTGGCTATCTATAGGTATTATCAGATATTTTCTTATCCTTCTAGCCATTTTTCCCTTGGGGTTGGTTGAGATGTTACTCGCTATACGCTCTGACGCTCGTTGTTTCCCCACTTTTAGGTAACGAGCTAGGTGTATGGAGAGCCGTAGCTTGATGGAGTCACTATAGTTATTATCTATAGCTTCTACTAGCAGTTTATGTCATAACTCCACAGTAGATGTATTTATAAGACCTTTGAGTATTTATGCTAGTTATGTAAAGGCAATGTGCCTTAATATCAGTTCAGTTGATTTCTTATGTCAAGACATTTGTATTCAGATTAGATGTTTTCTTTTTAGAGACTTATCCATTTATATCAGTGGAAATGATTATTCTTCTGAATATCTATTGTTTAGTACTCTTTTTGTATATTCTCTATTACATGTTCTGTACTTACACATGTTGTTGATTCCACTAGATAGATAGTAATTGTGATGGTGAAACGTGTTATTGCATGGTGTAGTGCGTGACAGGTTTGACATTTATAGTTTCACCTTGGACTACAGCCTGTTGGCCTTCTTGTTTTAATGATGTTTAACAAACAATTTATTTCTAATATTGTTTGTCTAGTGTTTATGTTTTCGTATTTATTCTAGGCAAACAACGAGTTGGAGGATGGATGGAATCGAGCTTCAACGATCATATCCAAAGGAGGTTGGCGGAATGTCGGGTTGAAGCCTTGCAAGTCAAAGTTAAAGATCAAGTTCAAGCTTCATCCACATGTGTACCAAGTTGAGCTACAATGAAGATCAAGACTAAGCTTGGGTAATCTAGTTTAGATTTTATATTATGTGTGTTAGATACTCTAAGCTCAATATCATATACACAAGTTTTGGTTTCTATACATATATATAGTTATATATATACATACATGTGTTTTTTGAGTTTTCATGTTTATAAATATGAAATCACATGTTTCATATTTATTATTTTGTTCTAGTATATATTGCATAGAATATGCATGAAAATATTGTTTTCTTAGTTTTTGGACTTAACAATATTCATATACAAATTTTATTAAGTCTACATAATCATTGTGCAAAGTTTTAAAACATGGTTTAGCTAAAATGTCAAAATTCATATGCTTACATTTTCATGTTTTGGCCTATTTTGTAAAATGATGATATTCTTCATTTGGAAAGTCCTTTTTTGGAAACCAGTCATTGTAGCATGTTTATTATCATGTCTACAATCATTCGCCAAAGTTTTACATTTTTTGGAATTTATTTGATATTTTTAAACAATGTTTTAAAATCAGATAAACAGTTTTCAGACTTCATTTTCATGTATCAGTCCTCGATCGACCGCACCAGTCGACCGCACCTATGTTCATTCGTCAGTGGGTAGCAGAGAGTTTGTCGAGCTTGAAACTTCCCACGGTCGACCGCACCGGTCGACCGAAGAAGTCTGCGCTCGTTTTCTCAGGTTGGGTTCTGGATCCCGGCCGACCACGAGCGCTCGTTTTCTCAGATTGGGATCTGGATTGCGGTCGACCGTGAATTTTTTCGGTCGACCGCCACTCTGTCTTTTCAGTTCCAACTGCTATTTTTCTAGCCATTTTCTGATGGTTTTTTGGTCTTTTGTTTGGGGTTTTTGGCTGAGGTTCTTGGAGGCTATAAATACCCCATTGATCTCAATTCTCAAAGTATTCAAGAATGTTTTGAACAAGTTTTTAAACAAGGGTTTAAGTGTGTTTTTAGTGTTTGTTTGGTTTGAAGATTGTTTTCACAAGTGGAGGAGATCATCTTCTTGTTTGGGCTCCAATCTCCATCTCTCCATCTCGATCTATTAAGAAGTTTTCTAAACTCTATCTAGCTTTATATTTGCTTAGTTATTTGATTATCATTATTTAAAGCTAGTTTTTATATTGAGTTTAGATTTGATTATATTATCTCATTGTTACACACACCCACTTGAGCTTATTGTACTTGCATAAATAGTATATTAGGGTTGTAAGAGATTGTAACATTGAGTTGTGCTTAATTGAGTTCTCATCTATTGTAGAGAACAAATTTATATTTGTTACATTATGAGTGTTGTAAGGTTTTCAGTGAGCTAGAAAACCGAGTGTGTTGTGAAGTTTTTGGTGAACTAGAAAACCGATTGTGAGGAGTGACGTTGATCGGTGAGCGTTGAAAACTGACACTGTGAGGTGTAAACGTTATTCGGGTGAGCGTAGAAAACCCGGTTGTGATAGTGAATTTCTCCCCGAGAGAGTGGAGCGGAGACGTAGAACGGAAGGTCCGAACTCCGTGATCATATCGTGTGTTTGAGTTTTCTTTGGCGTACTTTATCTTATGTTTATATTTCTTGTCGCCATTGTCCATAGCTCATTATTTATATGATCCACTACCTAGTTCATTTTGTTTTCCCCTTGAGTTAGTTTTCATATTCTTGCATATATTATAGTGTATATCTCTTTGGTAGGATATATCATCTTGTGTTAGTTTATATATCCTTGCATATATATTTCATCATATAGGATATATCTCTTTGTTTACATTGTTTATCCTAGATCATATATCTTATGGTATTTCATACTTGCTAGGATAACTTGTTAATTAATTTTGATTGGCATATAATCGGATTAGATTAGCATAAGACCCTAATCACCCCCCCCCTAGGGTCTAACAATTGGTATCAGAGCTTGGTGCTCTTTGAACAGCCTTGTTGAAACTAGGGACATCACAGTTGATATCAAAGCTCTAGTTCTGGTATCCTTAGGATCATCCTGTGTCGAGTTATGGAGTTAGAGTACAGTTTCTTAAGATTTGTGTATAGAGTCCGCTAGAAATTCTAGAAGGAGTGAGGACGTTATATACGCGTATTCAAAAATTACAAATATATATTTTTTTGTGATATTAAAAGTATTTGAGTGAATGATATATGATATAAATTTCTTATATGTTTTGTTCGAGGACCTACAAACTTTTCTCTATATGCTCAGATGGCAGGACGTGGTAGACCTCGTGCTCAGAGAGCTGGTCAGACAAAGCCGTAGCAAGCTCCACCAACACCGCAGCAGGCTCCACCAACACCGCAGCAGGCTCCCCAGTACTTGATAGACTTAATGGCTCCCATAGCCGCTAGGATGGCAGCACTTGAGGAGCTAGTGACGAATCACATCACACCACCAGTAGTTCCACCACCTGTAGCACCAGCTATTCCCGTTGAGGAGGATTTTCTGGAGGTCACACCCGTACCTTCCCTACAGTAGGGCAGCAGAGCAGGAGACTTGGCTCCGCCTAGTGGAGAGATACTAGAAGATGAGGGCACAAGAGTTTTAGGGATCATCAGATTCTCTTGCAGCACATAAGTAGAAAGAGGATGTAGGCAACAATCTTGATATACTTAATGTGACATCAGTTCAGAAACAAAGGCTGGCATCTTACAGTCTCAAAGAAGATACGGGGAGATGGTATCGACTATAGTTCACTTCAGATCAGAGAATGACACTCACCTGGGAGGATTTCACCTACTTCTTCAATAAGCAGTATATCTCTTCCGCGGCATGGGCCGGGAAAGAGCTTGAGTTGTCAAGATTGTCTCAGGGAGACATGTCAGTAGCTGACTTTGGGAGCAAGTTTATGAGCTTACTTCATTTCACGGGCATGTGGGAGACCGGAGAGCGCCAGGCTCATATGTTTTTAGCAGGACTTCGCCCTAACCTTCGTCAATACCTCGTTTCTAGGAGGTTTTATTTAGTTCGAGAGGTAGCAGATGCTGCCACTTCTCAAGAGAATGAGTTAGCTATGTTCAAGAAGGATAAAGAAGGGAACACTAAGGAAAAGGGCAAGAATAAGATGCCTTTTTCAGAACCCCAGCAGTAGCAGCAAGGCCCTCATAGGAGAGGACCACAGCAAGATCAGAGAACGCCTCAGTAGCGTAAATTCTAGGACACTTGTTTTAAGTGTCACAAGCTTGTCCATAAAGCATCTTAGCGTCGTAGTGCACCAGCAGGAGCCCAGCAAGGAAGAGGGTAGAATCAGCAGCAGAACAGATTTCAGGGTCGAGGTCAGGGCCAGCATATGAGATTGGAGTCACCGCCAATGGTACCAAAGATTGAGGGACAGGTTCGTGCAGTTCAGGAGGTTCCTCAGAGACAGGTAGTTCCATATGCTCCATCTCCAGCAGCAGAGCAGCTTCCAGCCACAGGCAGAGTGTATGCAATGGTTCCTCATGATCATGACACTAGCGGGGCCGTAGTGGAGGGTATGCTCTCCGTGAACTCCTTTCCAACCCGTATTCTTTTCGATTCGAGGGCTTTCCACTCTTTCATATCTTATGTTTTTATGATTAGACTTCAACTCGTAGCTCAGCCTCTACATGTTCCTTTGTCAGTTTCTACCCCACTAGGAGAGATGTCGCTCTTGGAGAGCATTTGTGGGAGGTGTATTATCAGCTTAGATGAGTCCAAGTTTGTTGTAGATCTGATAGTGTTGAGCATGTCAAAGTTTGATGTCATTCTTGGTATAGATTGGCTATCTTCCTACCACGTTAGTATAGACTATTTTGCGAAAATAGTCAATTTGTGAGCATCCAATGGGTCCGAGTTAGTTGTGTCCACCTCTCAGGGGAACCAGTTTGCGGAGTCATTACTAGCATACATCGAGGAGGTGATGCTTCAGGATCAGAGTGCGGATATATAAGAGACTAGAGTTGTCTCAGATTATCAGGATGTCTTTCAGGATATACCTGGATTAACTCCTGTGAGAGAGGTAGAGTTTTGTATTAAGTTGCAGCTGGGCACAGCCCCGATATCCCGAGCACCCTATCATATGGCACCTGCTGAGATGAGGGAGTTACAGACCCAGTTGGATGAGTTGTTGGCCCAGGGCTTTATTCATCGGAGCCATTCTTCGTGGGAAGCGCCGGTCCTCTTCGTGAAGAAGAAGGATGGTAGTATGCGATTGTGTATCGACTACCGTGAGTTGAACAAAGTCACTATCCGAAATATATATCGTTTGCCTCGGATTAATGACTTGTTTGATCAGCTGTAGGGAGCATAATATTTCTCGAAGATTGATATTCATTCTGGTTATCATCAGTTACGGGTTCGGGAGATGGATATTCCCAAGACCGTCTTTCTGACTCGATATGGGTCCTTCGAGTTTTGGTCATGCTATTTGGATTGACCAATGCACCCGCGGTATTCATGGATTTGATAAACCGGGTCTTCTATCTATACTTAGAAAAGTTCGTGATTGTATTCATTGATGATATTCTTATCTATTCGAGATCGGAGTCAGAGCACGAGCAGCATCTACGATTGGCTTTGTAGACTTTGAGGGAGCATCAGCTATATGCAATGTTTAGCAAGTGTAAGTTTTGGATTTCATTGTAGGGTTGCTGAAGTCAAAGAAGGGGAATGACTCAGTTTGGGTGATAGTAGATCGGTTGACGAAGTCGGCACATTTTATTCTAGTGAGGACTACTGATACTACAGAGACATATGCAATGATATTTATCCGGGTGATACGAGTTGCCATGCGAGCACCTTTGATCGCGGAATTATCAAAGGTGGGTTGAGAAGAGGATGATAAAAACACAAGCACAATTTAGTATATGGTGGAGGAAATTACCTTCACTAGATTATGAGTATGAAAAGATTACAATCCCTCCCTCACGATCTCACTAGAATCGAGAACAAACTCTCAATTCTCACTAAACCCTAATACAAAGATTAGAATCTCTCTCTGAATCTATCTGATTGTTTAGAAACCCTAAAATAATCCTTTATATAGGTGTACAAATGTGGATGGTAATTTGGTAAATAACCAGACACAAAACCAACAGGAATTCGTGTGAACAGAAACCCAAACGAACCAGAAAACCCTCGATGAGTCGACTCATGACTGAGATGAGTTAACTCATCCGAAACTAGACAAAACTCAAAAACCAGCGATGAGTCGACTCATGACAGTCATGAGTCGACTCAACCTGATGAGTCGACTCATGACTGTTATGAGTCGACTCACAGGCTAAAAACTAGATACTTCGATTCTTCTGCAAGTCGTCTCGTTCCACGCTTCCTCCTGCATTCCCTTATACTGTTTGACACCTCTATTCTTATGTTATCATAAGAATCATCTATCCTCAAGCTCCCATGAGGATCGCTAAGTTCCAAAGAGAAGATACACCTGTATCATGGGTCCCCTCTTTAGGAACTTAAAGTCTCGTTTAAGTTAGAACTTTTGTTGAGGAAATTCTCGAGTTCCTCCATCTTTTCTGCACTACCTAGCCTTGCTAGGAATCCAGTCTCGACGTCCGATTAGAAATAACTCATTTGTCCCGCGTCTCGTCGTAGTCACTATTCGCTCTAAGTTGCAATCATTTGTCGATAGCTTTTCAGGAAGTCTAATGCACAGCGAGACAAACTTCTTGCTTGCATTCACTAGTCTCTTCGCTCGCGCCACCGTCCACAAGCTTGTCTCCTTCGGAAGAGATGCCGAACAAAATATAAACTTTACAAGTAAGTGTACTTCTGAGCCCGCCTCTCGTAGATCGCATATTTATCCTATAAGTACGGATTGCCCAGTATAATCTGACAAACATCTAATGAAATGACGTCGCACGTGACCTCATTAATATACGACTCGTGGAGCATAAATCTAACAGTGCATTGATCAACTACACTCAGTTTTTCCTCCTTCTGAATTCACCCTAATGGATAGGGCTTCAGATGTTTGACCGTCTTAAGACCCAGCTTGTGAACCAATACATTGGATATCAAATTCTTCTCACTGTCCGAATCAACAATGGCATCAACCAAACTGGTATTCACTTGCAACTTGTAGGCTGTCTAAAAATCACAATGGATAGCTGATCCAAACAAGTCCTGACAATAGGAGTTACAATCAGACGACTCCCCAATCACTGCATTCGCAACTCTGCCACCGCTATAAACACGGCCTCATCTCCGAGAAATAAAAGGTTGGACTTAGCTGGTGAGTTGCTGGGTAGAGAGCTGTGGGCAAATATTCGTCCAGAAGACACTATGGATGTTGATTCCCGTCAAGCTCCAACAATGAGAGCTACAATCAAATAGCTTTCACGCCGACGATCGAAAACGACAAATAGGAGACTTTTCACACGGATCGAGAAGAGTTACAATTCGACGACACTTCCGACAGCTGATGAAAACTCTGTTCAGTGGCCTTCACAACCAACAGTGAGAGTTACAATCTGACGACTCTCATATCCTATAACAGGCAAAGATCAATAAACAATAGCCTTTGTAATGTTATAGTGGACGAGGTTATAAGCCAACAAGTTCTCCCAAACGCAGAAATTCATTTCTGCGTTTCTCAAACGCACACAATCTGTGCGTTCATCAACAGACATCGAACTCTGAACGCAGAGTTAAATCACGAAACGCACCCATAACGTGCGTTATTCAACAGACTCAGCTATGTCCCGAACTCTGAACGCAGAATTAAATTTCAACGCACCAGCAGCCTGTGCGTTTCCAAGTTCAGAACACACGAGGCCCGTGCGTCTCAAATCCCTAACAGAGATTTAACTCTGCGTCCCAAACCTTGGGCGCAGAGTTAAAGCCCAGAACGCCAATTGAGGCGTTTTGACTTGTTCAAACGCAAGCTGAACGGCCTCATAACCGTTTATCCCACGTTCTGAGGGATTCTCGCCCACAAAGGAGCGGAAATAGGGGTTGGTTGCACTCCACATCACCCTATAAATAACCAACTTACTCAACTGAGTAAGGGGTTGGCGGGTTGAGAGGTTGATCAATCGGTTTCTGAGATAAAAAACCGCAAAGAGTTGAGGGGAGCGGGGATCAAAACCACCCAAGGTCAACAAATCTCGGCAGTTGAGTAATCGGAAGGAAGAGATCTTCGGGGGATCAAGGAACTGATCAACGATCAGTTAATCAAATCCCGAAGGATCCTTTCATCAAAGGTATCATCCACTTGGCAATTAACCGAATTTTCGGTTCCAACAACTCTGTTTTAGAGTTTTAACTCATTCTGAGTTCTTAAACTCGTTAAGAGTTTTTAATTAGCTTGTAACGCAAGTTAATCACATCAAACCAGACATTCGGTTTTCAACAACTCTTATCAGAGTTCTTAACTCGTTCAGAGTTCTTCAACACTCGTCAAGAGTTCTAAACCGAAGTCATCAAACACTTCAGTTATTCCAGTGAAGAAGGACGGTCGGATCGTCAACGGAGAGCAAGTTCGACGCGATCAATCGAAGGAAGCACTCCATCGCTACCAAGAAGAACCCAGTCTTAAACAAAGGAGAGAATCAAATCCATTCTCTTCTCTTTTGTAATCGGAATCCAAATTGTAATCGATTTTGAGAGAATACAAGTCAAATTTTCTTTCTTTGTCTTTTTACATCAAATTTCCAACAAACACAATATATCATAAAACCAACCATGATATACATTCACATTCAACACTCATTCAATTTCATCCGTCAATCCACAATATCGAATAATACTCGTCATATAATCACAATCACAATACATCTCGCATGCTCAAATAATATTCATTCACTACGCAATAAAATCACATATATATTTTATATATGTAAAATTCAAAAGTCATGATATGTCTTAACACAAGTCTCACTCACTCCTCGTCATCGTCGGCATCCCTGTTATCAGCATCGTCTGCATTAGAACGTCGTATCGTACTGCTGCTCCCTACAATACCTCCTCCAACCTGAAAAGAATATCACTCCACATAAGATATATATATACCAAAAATATAATAATAAATACATATATGTCGCGTCATATATACCTCTCCACCACCATGAACTTCATGCTCGGCAAACGCCAACTTAAAGATCTCTAAGTATATCGACTCAGGAAGAATCTCCTTCAACGATGGACAATCACTGAGGCGCTGCACAACATCCCAAGTCGATTGTGCACCCCCTAGCTCGCGCTAAAGTCAATCTTCAGGTTTTGATAAGAATTCTTACCACCTTGATGCAATACAGTCTTAATGGTCTCCTCCTCCTCGTCGGAATCTGAATCTACCCTTTCCACATAGGACTCAACAATTTTTTTCGAAGAAGATTCACCTTGTTTGCCACCTCCATGGATAAGACTGACGAGTTGTGTGAGAGTCGAACCTATCGTCTCGATCTGCTTCTCCAATGCATCAATCCTCGTTGAATTGTCTCCTTCAGCCATCTTCTTCTTCCTTAAAACTCGGACTCCTTCCAATGAAATAAGGATCTCGCCAAGCTCCTTGTATTGCGAACGAGTCAGGACCATGCACAGGATGCCCCCTTCGTAGGATCTGATTGCTCTGATACCAACTTGATACGAGTTGCCGTGTGAGCACCCTTTGGTCGCGGAATTACCAAAAGGTGGGTTGAGAAGAGGACGACCAAAACACAAGAACAATTTAGTTTGGCGAAGGAAAATACCTTCTCTAGATTATGAAGAACAAAAGATTACAATTTCTCTCTCACAATCTCACTCTAGAATTGAAGAACAAGCTCTCCAAATCTCAATCTAGAATCTAATCTCTCTTGATTAAACTCTCTGACCTAAAAG